ACAGCCTTTACAATAGCATCTCGTGTCGCATCCATATCAACCACAACACCATCACGCAGCCCTCGAGCAGCTTGCTGCCCGATACCTAAAAGGTGCAATGCCTCATCGCTTGTAGAATTTCCTACCGCTATAGCGCAGCCAACTTTACTACCTCCAACATCCAACGCAGCTATAATTTTACGTCCACCAGGAGCTTTTTTTTTCCATGAAAAATGAGGCAGTGCCATTATGCTTTTTCACCTTTCTTCAATAAAAAGAAGGCTCTTCCTTCCAACCGTAAATCAAGAACATCTATACGATCCCACTGAATTCGTTCATCTTCAAGCAAATCCTGCAAATGGCTTAAGCTCTTTTCCAATGCATCTTCTGCGAGCTGAACTTTCAGATCCTTGTCTTGCAAATAAATATCCCAACGACGTTTGGAAACCCATACAGCAAATTTTAGAACTTTAAAAATGCTTGGATAACCTTTCACAAGGTTTAGAAAACTAATTCCCTCTTGATTGGCTTCTTCTCCAACCAGTAAAGGTAAAGTAGAAAAAGGCTTTATATTCTCAATGTTAACAACCTTTCCTTCTTCATCTAAAAGAAAGAGTTTCCCTTGGGAACGCCATAATGCTTTAGGGCGGCGCTCCTCCAGAACAATCACCAAACCCTGTGGTAGTGCTCGGCGCACTTGCACAGACGCCACCCAAGGATATTTCAACAAAGTTTTTTGTATGTTTTCTAAGTCAAAACTAAAAATAGACTTCCCTATCAAGGGCTTTAAGTCTTTTTGTACGTTCTCTGCGTTTGTCCTCCCCGCTCCTTCTAAAGTAACATCCTGCAATGTTAACCCCCATTGTGCAGACATCTGAATGCTACGACTAAGACTCTGCTGCCACCACTGAAGCGCCATCCCTGAAGTCACCGTCCACACAGCCCCTAAACTAAAACAAAGCAAAAAACCAATCTTAAAAAAACGAATCCCTTTCTTGAAATTCGATTTCCAACTTTCTTTTGCCGCAGAACGGCGTTTTGCCTTTACCGCCG